CACTGAGTTTTTTTTTTTTGTTTAGCTGAAGGATGAACAGAAACACCTGTTTTTTTACAATCTGAAGCAAGAGTGGAGCTTGATTTTCTCTCCAAGATGAAAACTTTAAGTACTATTTATATGATGGTGTCGGTTTTGGTGGTCTGCTACATCTTACACAGCTGTTAGGACTCCTATTTTCTCTATTTTGAACAATTTTTGAACTAGTTTTGGAACCTCTTGCAAATGGATTATCTTAAATGACTAGATACAAGATCATGGAATTAATAAGTACTTAATGGCTGCTTGGACTGGAAACAAAATGAATGAAGGGTGCTGTGACTTTTACACAGTATAGTGTAAAAGTATGGTTAAATTGCTGCAAACCTATTAGGCAGATAAAAAAAAGGTTTCTCATATTTATCCTTAGCGTTTTAATTAAACCGTGTGCTATTGCATTTCTATTGGTTTTAAAGGTTACACAAACTATATTTTGACTTTTTCAGTGAGGTATATGCATTACAAACCAGAAATATCAGCTCTGATAATGTATCATACACTACATTGAGTGACAGTGTAAAATTATACACAGCTGCATGTGTTAGTGAAAATTTTAAGACAATTTGGGCCTGAATGCTTTGTGTCTGATCTCTTTATATCCAACCTGGCAAAATACTCATTGTGCAATAAACCAGTACAGTGAAGCAAGAGCCAAGGTTTTACAAACCCTATACAACTAGTAACAGACACAGTGCTCACAATAAAATGATCAATATACAATATATTTAATAAATGCAGTAAACACATCAACTTTGGTTGTAAAGGCATTATTAGAATTCAGTAATGAGCTGGTCAAAATATAAACATGCTTTTCAGTAGAAAAAGTACCCAAGTTCCCAAAGCCATAACTCATTATATATTTATATTAGAAATAATTATACATGATTAGATGTATATAATAAACCACTTCAAGAGATAAAGAAAAAAAAAAATAAAAAAACTAACCATTTTGTAACATTATTTTTCACATGGAAAACGCAACATTTAAAAACAGAGATATATTTTTTTTTCACACCGTCTGCTAAGTGTGCTTTGGCTTGTTCAGCTGCAATTTGCTGTCTTAGCAAATCTCATCGAATCTCACAAAAATAATTCACTAAGAGACTGCAGGTCCCAAACAACAAGAAAAATTAAAGTTACAGTGAAAAAGGTGAAGTTGAAACAATCAGCAGTACACACAGAAGCAATTAAACCTCCTAGCAGTATCTAAACTATGAGAATCATTTCTGTTATTGGTAAACTGTCCAACTATTATTTGATTAACTGACTAATCAAACCATGATCAAAGCACATTCAAAGTTCTGCCAAAGTGCAAAAAGTGTGATATTTATCTAAGCTTATGGCCTCTTTTGATGCATGCACAAAAGCAAGACCAAAGATGAATGATTGGAGCTGATAATAACAGTATTCATACATCATTTTCTTTATTCATTTACATATATCAGTTCTGATCATCCCCACCAAAGATATGCAGTTAGGCCAACTGGAGATACTAAACTGCTCCTAGGTGTGAGTCTGAGTGTGTATGTGAATGTATACGTCTTTGTGTCTGCCCTATGATGTGCTGGTGACCTGTCCAGGGTGTTTCCTGCCTTCCGCCCAATGAGCACTGGGAAAGGCTCCAGCACCCCTGTGACCCAGTAGGATAAGTGGCTTAGATAATCAGAAAGAGTACTAATTATCTTGAACTACATTAAGCAAAACATGAATGGTCTCCTAGTTAATGTTAGCAAAATTAACGTTATCCTGCAGTTCATTAATGTTGAAACGCACAGCTAATACAAATCATGTGTATTTTTGGAGCTCTGTATTCTAAGGACGACAAATATTTCCATTGTTGATTTTTTGTTTATATTTTCAAAGCGTTGTCCAAGGTAGAGTAAGTTAACAACCTGAAGAGGGCAACAATTCTGACATTTTCTCTAACACAAATGCCAATTTCTTTGACAGTTTATGTCTGTATAAAGAGCAATGTCTGCCTGCCAGCGAAACACATCTCAGGATAGCATTGGGTTTAAGTCATGTGACAATATAAAAGTTAACAAGGGGCAGCCGTTCCACTTAAGTACTGCAGAAACTATATCAAAATGTTAATGTACCATAGTGCTCAAACACTGACCTACAACAGCCATATTTTAGTTTCTGTGCATTCTTACAACAAACAGTGAGAACAAGTGGATCAAAGCACTGATTTAAACAGAGCTAATTTGCTGTATGTGTGGGGTAGCCCTGTTTACTGCGGCTGCAGGTGCTCACCTCAAGCAATCTTTGTCTTTGTACAACATGCCAGCAATTTATGTAATCTTTATGTTAAAAAAAAGTGGAACTAGTATATTGCTGTTGTCGGAACAAAACCTCGTATCTCCAAAATGGTAACTTTCAGGAGAAGGAAAAAACATACTTTACTTTAAATGTAAGTCAATGGAACCAGAATTTTTACCAAGTAATTTTAGGTCATTTAATTTGGTTCATTCGTCATGAAATTTACAAACAATGTAAAGAGGTATTTTCAAATTATGTCAAAAACTGAAAAACAAAAATGGAGATACAATGTTTTGTTCCGACAACAGTGATATGTAGTTTGAATTTGATAGACTAGTTTATATTTAGCTGGCTACCCTAGCTAGAAACCATTGCTAAACATAGCTATATTTACAAACAAGGTAGCTTTCCTTAGCTGCTGGCATCAGCTGGCTAACATGGAGCAGCCTCTGTAACACATATACAGCCTTCCAGCAATTTCTGTAACACTATAAAAGAAAAGCAAAACCTTTATATGTAATGTGAATTTGACTGACTTCATTTAAGCTCTCTTGTAGCTAATTATATGCTAGCAGGCTACAGCAAAATAGCTAGCCTACTATTAGCAGTTTAAGGAACATCAACTTCATCTCAGCAGCAACCCAAACAGCAAGCACACATCGGTTCGCTGGCTTGAGCAGGTTGCCACCCCGCTTTGCCACTGCTGGTCGACCCTCAGACCACCCAGATTACTGTCCTGCATGCAAGCTCTAACTATTTTTTATCTACTCAAAACAGATTTTAAATGCAATTTATTTATAAAATAAACTTAGAACAATATCAAACAACTGACAAGGTCTAATATAAATGATTTTATAGAAAATGCTGTTACTGACACTGTGCTAGATTAAAATTATTTACCAAACTAATTTACAAAGTATAACTAAAGAAAGGAAGTAAGGAAAAACAAAAAGTAAGTTGGACTGTGAGTGTAAAATGAGCGATGATAAGGGGATTTTTGTCTTTTACTCTGCTTAAACAAAAGTAAAACACTGAACAAAACCACCTGGAAAATGCTGAACAAAACGCCGGTGGACCACCAGCTTTGCCATCAGCGGGCCGACAGTGGTCCACTATCCTCCTGCTATCAGGGAAACATTAGCTGGCTAGCGATGTTAGCGATCTGCCATGAGGCATCATTCTTCTATTTTTTGAAGCAGTACTTCACATAATATCCACCTTTCACTGACCACTCAAAAAACAACTCTCTGTGACATTTTGATTTCCATTTTCTGCCAGAGTTGTTTGTTATGTGGGAAGAACCATGTGGTGTCTTTGACAATGTTCTAGCAATGTTAGCTGTTCATACTAAGCTGATGTTGGACAAATTACGTCATTGACGTTTTTTGCTTTGTTCTGTAGCATTAGCTTGTTTTAAAAACATGAGTACAAAATTTGTTGATAAATGTGATGTAAAAAGCTGCTTTGTTAGCCAGATAACAGTTTGGGAAAATAGCCACTGTTAGAAATGGTTCCTTGCGAGCATAGCTAAACGAAGTATTTAAATACACTAGCTCTACTTTCATTTGAAAAATATAAATATTGCAGAAACCCTGGCATGCTGTACAAAGACACAGTGACTGCTCTGTGTGAGGCAGCTGCAGCAGCAGTAGTAAATCAGCAGTAATGTTACGCTGTTTGGGTGACTTTCTATAAAATTACCTGCCTATGATTATGTCACGACGACCAGCGGTTTGTACTCCAGAATCAAAGAGTGCGGAGATGGGAGGCAGGGCTAAAAGGCTGTTGGTGCTGCTCTTTAAAATGACAAATAGTCACATATAATATATGCATGTATGACTTTCCACAAATGAACATCATCTTTGTCCACCACAAAAGAAAACATACTGGTGAGTAATTTGTAGTTTTCCTACCTCACCAGTGTTCTGACAAGTCAAACTACTCCCTGAGGATGTGCAGTTCATACTGTAAGTGATTTGTCAAAATAATCTAATGTTACTCTTACAAAACTACTAAAGCTCATCATACTACTACCGTTAATTGCTGGAATATTCTAAGCCCATGTCAGTCTCTGTTAATTAGAAGTATTGAGAAAGCTACTTCAAAAACCCACAGAACATTCTGCTGCTCATCACAGCATTACGCACATTAGCTAGCTAATTTAGTACAACTAATTAATTGCTAGTTTAAAATACAACTCACTTTGTAAGCAAAGTTTTAACAAGGGAAAATAAGGTCAGTTGCTTGTGCTGGAAACCTATTCTTATGTTTTCCATGGAGGTAATTTAGCTCTTGGTAAACAGTGCCTCAGTTTGTCAGAGCCAAACACTTTTGTTACAGCTCTTCAATTATCAGTCAAATAATTAATAGGAACACAAAGAGTAGTCATAATAGGACCATCTCAATAAATCACGAAATAACTAAATAACAGCTAAATAATCATTATTAGAGATGCATAATTGGAACCAGGCAAAAATGGCTCAAATCAAGCAATTATCAATCAGCCAGTTTTATTATTTAGATTTTGGCCGATCTGTGTTGCAATTTTAGGTCAGGTAAGTGCTAAAATATATATTTTTTAAATATATTCATGGTGGAGACATTCAGGTTGTTGTAAAATCAAAACAGTCCCGAAAGAAAAATGTTTCTTTCCCCTCACTATTTTAGCATTATAAGAATTAAATATAATAACTCAGAAAATGTGTAGGTTCACCAGTCATTAATAAATAAAATGGCTATATTTGTGTTGAAGACATCACAAGCTACCACCATCACCACTGTAAAGAAAAATGCGATATATGAGAGTGGCATCTAAAGTGTTTTACTGTGTGCGACAAGCGATTTCTTTTTATAGAAGCCTAAGCTCGCTGTAGTACATCAATCTGCCATAATGATCACATGGATCATATGAACATTATACAGAATTATAGTGAGTTTTTTTTTGTTTTTAAAGTGTTTATCCGTTATTGACATTGTCAACAACTATAACTTTGATAACCAATATCTACAGCCTTATTTACTAAAAACCTTTTCTTGGTTGTGTAAATGTATTAAAACTGAGGTATTTAAATCATGTGTCTACCCTTCCCCCATCCTTCACTGCAGACCCCTTGCTCTTGGCCACGTTCCCATAAATGGTCCCTCCATTACTGCGTGGGCGGGGCCCCTGTAGGCCTTGTGTAGGTTGGAGCCGAGGGATAAACCCACGTCTACCTGCTCACGCCTGTGGGCCAACAGCAGCATCATGTGGTCCAGTTTGGAGCGGATGGTGGTGTAGTGGAGCTGCCGCTCTTTGGCCAGTCTGCAGAAACACTTCCTAAGGTTACTGCCTTGGATCGGGGGGCGGAGGTTTAACATCTGGGGGGCAGGGCCATCACTCAATGGGGAAGAGCTTGTGGTGGAGGAGGAGCTTGAGGATGGAGGGGAGAGGTGCGTTTCTGTCTGGACTGTGCAGTGTGCTGTTGGGCTAGTTTGTGTGGAAATGTGGCGGATTTGGGCAGCTGAAGAGGTCATAACTCCAACAGAATGACAGCTAATGGGGCTTTCAACCTCCTCTGCTTTCAGAGGAGATAAACCTGGAGGTTCTTCAGATGCAATAATGTCCTGTCGAAGTTCCTGCTCCATCCAGTCCTCTCCGAGTGTGGAGCTGTCAGACACTGGAGAACTTTTCCTACCCTCACTCTCCTTGTCTTTACTGATCTGTTGGATCTGTCTGCTCTGCTGGGTGTGGGCTGTGTTGGGTGTGCTGGTCAGACATGCTGGAACCAGGCTGGCTGCCCTGCCCCATGGAGTTCCTGGGGTTTTGAGCAGTAGGTGGTCATAGATTCCGCTGTTTCTGATACTAGAGGGTGCACTGGTGTTCACTGGGAGGGACTGAGCATACAGGATTCTGAACTCTTCATCAAAACTCTCTGTTATCTGGCCAGAAAGCTCAATCAGGTTACTGCTGTTCAGTTTACCATCAGTCCAGCTGAACCTGAGGAATAAGAAATACAGAAACACATCTAAATCTGTCCTGCTGTTAAATGGATAGTGTGAAGAAGTATGCTGTCTTCAAAAAACATTTTGCTTATGCCTGTTATACATTCACATAATCCAAAGTTCTAACTTCTGACTCGTGCCAAAACATATTTGGAGGGCAGCAAAGAATAATATTTGCCAACTTGAGCTGCCTTTTTTGGCAATTTGGAGCTGATTATCTGAAGCTCTCAGAACCTTTGCTCAAAAATGACAAAAGCATTTTGATGCTTTTTCTTGCACGTTACCATTGCATTTAATGAGAACAGTTTGCTTATATGGTCACCAAATCATCGTTCAATAAATGTCCACAGGCGTTTAAGGGACTGAAAGTAGTTCTGAGGGAGACAAAGTTGTAAGTAACAAAAAGCCAACTTCAAACCTGTTCTGTGGTGTTTGGGACTGTAGCGTTAGGCTAAACGTGCCACACAGAACAGGCCTGGTTCCAGCTAACTGATGCGAAAAGGTACATCTGTTTAGTGCAAAGTCGAGTGACTGAGTAAAAGGCAAAATTCTGTGGTGTGTGTAACTGTTGCTGAGCTACTATCATGCTTAAGGCCAATGCACACCTGTCTTGCTGCAACATCCAAAAATTCAAAACCCTTGTTTTTAACAGAGATATGCACACATGCAGCTTAAAGTCAGTCAATCTTTTAGATAAACAAATAAATGCTAAAGGTCTGTTACCTCAGTTAACATTACAGCCAAGTCTTTTTCTCCTAGTAGCTTTTAGCTCAAACAGTAATATAATATAGTAATATAAAAAAAATAAATGTATAATAATGCTTATAATTACTGAAAACAATACAATGAAGAGAGTCTGAAATGAATTGAAGTGTAGGGAGAGGTTCTCTTTAATGTTGTGCCTAAGCAGTTCACGTCCAGTGACACGCCTTGAAAGGTGCGCACTGTTTTCCTGGCTCAGATTTTTCCCCTCTTTCTCCCAGGGCTGCCTACTGGCTAGCTCCCACAACACCAATCAGCGAGTCTTCTAAAATATTTAAGAGTGGAACATGTTTATTTGGTTGTGACACACATAATTTTGAAATACTGTTTTAAGTACTGCTTTTACCTTATTACCGTCATACCACTCAACTGTAGCCCTAAAACACCAAGCCAACTGTCTGCAATCAGACAGTCATCAGATTGAGAACATCTGTGGCAAACAATGGCCTACAGTTATTACAATCTGTTCTGCACCACTGGCTGTAGTGGGCCCTTGTCAGTGCTCGTTTGGCCGATTTAGCATATCAATTTGGTTTTACCAGTGAGAGAGGTCTAATTGGCAGTTTAGCATAGCAAATCTGTGCACTGGAATAGAAATGAAAGTGAGTATAGCAAAACAAACAACACTCAGGAGGGCACACTTAGAGTGTAGTCCAGTTAACTGAAGCAAGGAATTTACCTGTAGGAGCCTGTAGCCACTCTGTTTCCATCAATCAGCATGAAGCGCTCGTGAACCTTCCCAGCGATCCGCGCACCTGACCTCAGGTAGTAAGTCGAGCCGGTTATGGTCCGCACCCTGATATGCTTTAAATCACAAACAAAGTACTGTTAGGAGTAAAAGTTCATAAGCAGCTATATCAACTATTCATTAACTACGAGCCAGTTTCCCAGACTCAGATTAAACCTTAGCCTAGACTAAAAAGAAATTCCAATGGTAATTCTCCACTAACTTTGAAATTTAGACCAAAATTAGGCATAAGCCATGTCTAGGACACCAGCACTATGGGTCAGTTTCCCAGTCAGGGATTGATCTTAGACCTAGACCACTTTTTCCTTTCAATGGAGAATTTCCACAGTGTATTCTAGGCTTATTGTCCAGGTAACTGAACAGAAGTGACTTAAACCCTATACTGCCGGTTTATTATTCAGTTACTAATCTTAAGAATTATTATTCGTCTTATTATTATTCTATTTTGTTTTGTTTTTTTTTATTCAGCAGCTACTATGAAACTAATACGAAAGTTATGTAGTTATGTGACTGATGACATGTGGAGAGTTACTATTTATTAAATTATCATCATTCAGCTACTGAAACACCTACCCGGAGCTCATCCAGACACACATGAAGACTTTTGCACATTTGCAGGAATTCTGAGAGGGATGACTGATCTAGCACGATGTAAACAGGCACCCGGCGCAAAGATGCCTCCTGCAGGTCATGGAAAATATCCAAATCTGTCAGAGAGTCTGTTACTATGGCAATTACCTGAAGGACAAAGAGAAAAACAATAGTGTCTATTACTTTTTGCACCCCAGAAACAAAAAACAAACTTATTAATGGCTAGAATATCTAATGGGTCACATTAAGTGGGGTTGATAATTGTGCACCGACGCTGGGATACTAACACCCTCTGGCTTAGCGCATGGATGAGCGTCTGCTGGCCTAATATCAGCTGCACTCTGCCTGCAGGCTGTACTGCTTAAAATGTAAAGCTGCATGTCTAGGGGAAAGGAGGACATGTTGTAGCATCTATGGAACTCTAATTTCAGTGTGAAATATTCACATTCTCAACATTGCAAGAAAATAACCCACTGAGATGGTCCATTACCTCTGGCTGGCATAGTGACCTTACACGTTTTAGTGTTTTGGCAGAATTTTAAAACGTCTGCTTCTCAGACTATAGATTCCTAAGAGAAGTCTGATGCCCTGTGATGAATTCAAAGGTCAAATACAGAGTATGCATTTACATTTGAGGTGGGGATCACAGAGACAAACATGACTCATGAATCTCTTACCAATGCAGGAACTACATGCCTGAAAGGACTTTTAAATTAGTATCAGACCACAGTAACGTAAACCCACAGTTAATGATTCCATCAGCTTTAACTCTGTGTTGAGACAACTTAGGTGGTGGTGGGGGGGTATGTGTGTGTTTTCAATGCTTGTGGTGAGCCTATAGTCAAAAAGACAAAAGAATTAACTGCTTGCTAGTTTTGATTTTTGCCAGTGTATGTGTATATTCTGTAAGTACTCCAATGGTGTCCTTACATATGAAGTACACCACTATGCCTCTAAATCTCCTCCTGTCTGTGTAACACCATAGTTGAATAACAGACAACTTACAAGGAGTTCAAAAGCAAAATCATGAAAGAAAAGCTACAAAAGTCTCGTTGGCTGAGGTAGGGGCATTCAGCTTTCCGTGTATGACAAATCAAACACTCTTTCGGCCAACTCTGGGCAGTCCTGACTTGAATCTACACTACAGAATTTTGAACATTTCGAACATTGATTTGTGAATTCAGTTGAATTCACAATCCATTTTGAAATTCAGAAGTTAACTACTTAGAGGAATGAAACAAGGTTCAAGTTGACCATGCTGATTTGTCTGTCAGTGGTTCATAAGAGGATGAGTTGAGATAGTGTCTTTGATGAGCCATTTCTAATATTATTATTGAAATCCAAAGAAACATGCTGGCTATGGACAGAGCTACAGAGTTTTTGGTGTGTTTTAGGGCTTCATACAACTCTATGCTGTTACCAAGCAAAATAATATAAAAAAAGTATGAGAACTGAAAGGGGTATGACCTAGCACTGACCACCATCTTAAATAGCAAAAAACAGTAACTTACATAAATAAAATAAAATCTGATCACTTAAAGGGGGTGAAAATCTCAAACCAACCGGAAGATGTGATACGTTTTGCAATCATTGAAAAAAATTCAATGTATAATTTCTTCAGTGACGTTTTTAAGTTGTATGCAGTGCTGTGTTTGGCCAACTAATTGAAACACGTATTATTTCACATGGCAATGAGAACAAGAGTATAAAAGCAATCAAATACGCTTTTTTAATTGTAATGGATTCATAAATCAGGTAACGCATAAAACAAATGATAGCAGCTACATGGTTCTTCACCAAGCATATTTTAAGTGGTGTCGCAAAGTCCAACAACGAGGTTTTTTCTTGTGGCTGGTGCACTGGCTTACCAACAAAAAAAAGACGAAAAAGGATAGCGATTTCAACAACGCGTATATTTAGCTTTCTCGTAGGATCACATACCAGCCTTGTCTTTCAGATAGTCACCAAGTCTAATGTTTTGGAAAGTGCCTGAATTGTAATACAGGAGTAACGTTAGCTGACGACGTTAACGTTATCTGAATTCCCAAATAAAGGTTTTGTAGCTCTATCAAGTTATTGCGATCGGTATATCAGATAGAAACCTGTTTCGCTAACCATACGCGTTTAAATCAACCTACTGACAACACAGAATAAAATAATCATGTTTACAAAGAGTGCCTGATAGACAGCATGAGATTAAATCACGTTATTAAATAAAGTTTTTTTTAATAAAACGTTTGGCTAATATTACATCTATTAGCACATACTCGTAAACTTCCTTCCCCTACAAACGACTCCGCACTGTTTTAACGTTACCTCCTTGGCGCTGCGGATCATCCTCCGGACCGCTTCCTTGCAGCGATAGATGGAGTCTCCGTAAGCGGGCTGGAAGTGCGCCACTGCCCGGGTCACACCACGAAACGACCCAGTGGTGAAGGCGGGCCAGCCGAGCTCTAGTAGCGGGGGCTCCACATCCGACACCTCAGGGAAGTATGTGAGAGACGATCCGTCGACTGTGGCGCTCTGCTCTGAGCCCGACTCCTCCAGAGCCAGGGGGCAGGCAGGTGGAGCTGTAGCGGCCAAAATCCCCCGGAGCTCTGCGGCGGAAAGAAAGCAGGGCAGCCGCTCCCTCCGCAAGAACTTCACGAAAGACTCTGCGCCCCCGGACACCAGAGCCTCTAGAGCCAGTCGGTGCTGCTCATTATAAACAGCGGCGAGCTCGCAGTCCGGTGGGGGCCTAAGAATTCTCCAATTCGGAGAGTCGTCGATGGTCTGAGAAAGAGCCATGCTGAAAACCCACCGCTACAGCACAACGAACAGTTTAGGATTAACCTCCACACACTACTACTCGCCCTGGAGCGCCGAAGAGCCGTCTACTGCTGAATGCCATTGGCAGAAAATGCTGTCCGTCAAACCCGATGCCTCACGTGACCACATAGTAGAAACGCTATTGGACAGAGTACCTCACGGCCATTGGCCACAGTTTGAATTTGAAAGCAAACAGCCATTGGTGATTGGCTGGAGGGGAGACTACCCCTCAGCTGTTTTTCCCCAATAGAGTTGAATTGCAAGGAAAGGCGTTTCCGTAAAACAAGAACGCCCACATCAAGAACGCCCCCTTACCTTTCATTGGCGTTTCCGTGAACAAGAACGCCCATCTCAGGAACGCCCCCTTATATTTCATTGGCCGGTATGTCTGCAAAATGGCTTCTCTCATCGGTGGAGACTAGTGATGGGAATTCCGGCTCTTTTTAGAGAGCCGGTTCTTTTGGCTCGGCTCACTAAAAAGAGCTGGCTCTTTCGGCTCCCAAGTGGCTCCTCAGATTTTTTGTTGCTTAAATTAATTTATTACCAAATTACGTGTAAAATTAATTACTAATGTAAAAACATACATTATATGAAATGTTTATTATTTATATGGCTTTATTTAGACACTCAACATGGAGCAGAGTGCTACAAAAAAAAATGATAAAATACAAAAATCAAAGACCCATCTAAACTAGACAAAAAGGTCCAATCTCTGATTGTGTATATTATTGGTAAATTTGTACAGTGAAACAACAAAACATCACTCAACAAAATATGAATTAAAATGTGCAAAACAAAAAGAAAAAGCAGCATCCTTTAGCGAAGATTGGCATTCAGAAAAACCAAGGATCTCATCTTTGAAGGGTTGATCCTGTTTCTCCTTTCTGTTATGATCTGCCCTGTTTTGGAGAAGATTCTCTCTGAGGGGGCAGATGTTGCTACAATACACAGTCTATATGCCATCACATGTGTAAGATGTGGGTAGACTGAACACTTGGTCTCCCACCAGCTCAGTGGGTCTGCACTTCTCTGGAAAAGGGGCTCCTTGAGATATGATCTCAGTTCCACCATTGCACCTGCTGATGGATTCCTTGTAGTTTCACCAGTTGCTCGTTCTTCAAAGAACCTCCAAACAGCAGATGTTTGTGGTTCCTCTTGTTCGTGCTCTGCTGCCTCTTCTCCCTCTTGGCCCCCTGGCAGTGGACTTGACTGGCTGGATCTTGCTGCTGCTGCAGTTATTCTCTGAAGAGCTTCATCAACTGCTCTATTTTCATTGAAAGCCAGCTTTTTGAATCTTGGGTCAAGAATGGTGGTTTCTGACAGAACAGTGTTATATTCCATTCTGTGGAATTTTCTTTCCATGGATGCACACAGAGCATCCAATAACTCCTTCACTTTTCCAGTGGTTACTCTGGTCTGGTGCTCAGCTGTCACTCTCTGCAGACCCTTGCACAGGATTAACATTTTAGAGGCTGTAACATAGCTGAAAAAAGAGTAAACAGTAAGTGTTAAAATTATGCTTTGTTTTAATTAGCAGTATATATTATTATATATCCGGTCATGTCTAATCTGCTTTTCATACTAATAATGCAACAACAACAACTAATAAACATGATAACTGAAAAATAATAAGAAGAATAATAACATGATAACATTTGTACACTGTACCTGTCTGCACTGATCTCCACAGTGACCTGCTCAAATGGCTCCAGAACAGTGCAGGCCTCCTGCAGTACCTCCCATTCCTCTTGGCACAGAGGGTCAACAAGTGCACTGATAACAGCCAGGGTGGAAATGACTGCATCCTTGGAGTCCAGAATCCGTTTTAGCATATGGAAGGTGGAGTTCCACCTTCTCTTGTTTCAGCTTCAGCTCAGGCATGCCCATCTGTTGTTGGGTAGATTTGAGCTTCTCCGTGGCTGTTGTGCTCCTGTGGAAGAATTCCACTATCGCCTTTACTTTGTCCACAGTGGGCTTCATCACCTTCAAAGCATCTCTTACAAACAAGTTAATTGTGTGTGCAAGACATGGGTGGTGGGTTCATTTCAGGGTTTTAATTGCTTTTGTTATGTTAGCTGCATTGTCACTAACACAGCACTCACTTTGTTTTCCACGTCCCACTCTTTTGTCACTTTGAGCAGCTCCTTTGCTAAGTTCTCAGAAGTGTGTCTGTCACTGAACTCAAAACAATCCAGTAGACAGGACACCATTTTGTAATTTTCAACAAAGTGGCATGTAACTGACATGTAGGATGTGGTGGTTCGGGATGTCCAGCAGTCAGTTGTTAGACAAACAGCTGTGGCTTTTTTGACCCTTTCTAGGAGTGAAGCACGTTCTCTGTCATATAGGCCTGGGATGATTTTTTGGGAAAGTGTTTTCCTGCTTGGAAGTGCATACATTGGATTGAGAGCATGAGTATAGCTTTTGAATCCTTTGTCTTCCACGATTGAAAATGGCTGAAAATCTCGTGCGATCATTTTAGCCAGTTCCTCATCAATTGTGTTTTGTTTTGCTGGAGTCATAGCCTTTTGCAAAAAAATGGCTCATAGAGCTCTGGGTTGTAGGCCTAGGTGGTTGTGGTGGTGTACTGGATGATGCTGCAGACGTTGTAGGAGCAGCAACAGTTGCAGTAGACACACTGGCACCTTCATTAATAGCAGGTTCCCTTGCTTGTCTTCTCTCTTCTAATTGCATTGATGGATGAACAGTTCGCATATGCCTGTGCAGGTTGTTTGTGGAACCTGCTCGATATGAAATTTTAACTTTGCACAGTCTACACTCTGTCTTTGAACTGTCTATCACATTAAAATGTGTCCAAACTTTACTACGTTTCCTGTCACTCATTTTCCTCACCTTTCCAGCGTGTAGTCTGTCTGACTATGTAAAGCGCGAAGCTCTCTCGCTCTCTCTGGTCTCCCGAGAGACCTTTGCGGGAGACTCTGCCTCCTGTTCGTGTGCTCACTGTGCTGTGTGTGTTTGTAACCCCTCCCCTCCCCGCTCCGCTCCCGCTCAGTGAAGACGCACAGATGCCGCCACACATCTTGACCAATCACGCTTTAACAGAAAAAAAATCGGCTCACAGTCAGGAGCCGGCTCCCGTCGTTCACTTCAAAGAGCCGGTTCTTAGAGCCGGATCGTTCGCGACCGACCCATCACTAGTGGAGACGACTTAATGGCAAAAATACGCCAAATATTTGTAAAGAGATTACTCGTTTTAAATAACATTAATTTATTTAAATTAATTACATTAAAACAAATATGTGCAAATATATAGCTTATGATGATTTTTACAGAGTACTGTCTCGTGGTTTAGAGATCCCCGACATCCGTAGTAGACTCCTTTACCGTTTTTTGTGGTACATTACTCAGCTCAGCAAAGTGCATAAATTGTCCTCTTGTCCTGCAAGTTTATATGGCAAACATGTCGATAGTGTAATAATACAAAAAGGAAGTCCTAAAAGCATCTTAGCTGACAAAAGGTAACTTTCAGGTCATACTGTTATATAAGATTGTATATATGCCCATAGCTTAGCTATTATAATCTGAAATTCGTTGCAGGTTTCTTTTGTTACCTGTCTGTATGATTTAAGTAAATTAATCAGCTTAGCACAGTATGGAATTTGACATCCTGCAATTGATATAACATGTTGAAATTGTTAGCCAGAAACCCTACATGCATCTATTCCCACAGCTCAACTAAATTTCAATACTTGATAAGTTAACCTTGATCAACATGAAATAACAGAAGAAACCACATTCAAAATCCCAGTGATGGTGGTAACCTTCAAAATAAAGCTTATAAACCAGACTTTTCTCATAATTATAAGACTTTGAGGAACTAAGAAAACTGAATTCCACAGGCAGTATAATCCAGCACACTTTAATGAACAGTACTTGCATTTGCTCCATCTGCACAGCACAGCAGCACTCAAGTCTGCATGACCTTTTAATGTTTCAAGACATATTAGGAAGACTACGAAGACTGACACAGTACACTGGGATTCTTCCTTTGTCCCGTACTTCCTCCAGAAAGAAGTGCATGTCTGCCATTGATTCAAAAGTGAACTCAAGTGGAGCTCTAAAATCCACCTCTTGGAATTGAGATAAGTCTAATTCCGTAATTATTGTTACCCATGATGAGTGCAAAAAATGCACTGCATGAAAATAGCAAGCTTGCTATGTATAATTTTTAAACGCATATACTAAATACTTCTAACGCAATTACAAATTTAAAATAGTATGCAAGCACATAGTGATTACATAAACTAATTTTTAAACATAGGCTTCTTTTAAAGTTGTAGTGCATGTTTGTCCCAACTATAAAAAATGTATGTCATGCCTTTTGAGTGGAAACTTCTCCAGCAGCTGGATGCTCCACCACCTTCTGATAGCTGGCATGTCCAACTGAAAAAAAAATAAGTATGCCTTAGACAATAGTATGCCAGAACATTATAGACTAAACTAAAACATTTTTCTTATAAAAGCTGATTGTGGAATTGCTAACCTAAAAAATTATATTTTGTTAGCAATACATATAAACAGATGGAGAGATCTTACCTCATTAAAGTCAAATGGCCTTGAGAGTGCAATGTAGAGTGCATACTGCAACGCAAATTTTTGTTTAATTAAATATTAAGAGAAATGCATGGAAATTATAGGCAGTACTTAAAGATTTCATAAATTACCATTGGCATGAACACTCCACAGTCCTTGTTCTTGAACTGCAGAGATGCTCCCTGTTGTTAATATGAATAAAGAAATAAGTTCATAATGGTTAATCATTATGGCCAGCCCCTATTCAAGGAAGATCTTATTTGAATTATTTTCCATTAAACAAGATTTCGCTACCAAAGAAGTGTAAAAACTTTACCTCACAGTCTTTCAAGTAAAACACGTTCCACTGCTCAATGGCTATAGCTTTTTCCAGGTTCCTAAATAAGCAAACAAAAAAAATGAAACATCATCATTATCCAGCTTCAAAGTGTTCTGAAGAGGCACAATGGACATTTTCAACAGTGG